TGAATGCTAATGTTTCCTTCTATAACAGCAGTCTTTTATACTTTTGCTATAAATGAAGAATTCAGATTTTTTTTTTTTTTTTTTTTTTTATCAAATATAAAAAGAAATGATGGTTTATTTGATTTTTATTTATCTTTAAGCTGAATATCTGAAAGTGATTAATGCCATACTCTGATTTTTATATACCATATTTACACAATCTGTACAGGATTTTATTTTACTGCAAAATACAGAAAAAAAAGTTGTAGTTAGTAAAAATATATAATCTTTAGTAGAAGCAAAAAAGTCCTGAACTGCTATGTCATATTTCCTATATTGCCCTATGCTGGAAGTGGTTCTACAGAAGGATGCTGAGAGTACCAGGTGTAAAACATTAAGTTTTAAAGAAAATGGGAACAAAAAAGACTTATACTGACAATCAGAAAGAAATTTGAAATTTTTGGGACATATAATGAGGAAGCACTTGAAGAATTTAACACTAGCAGGCAAGAAAACAATCTTAGTAACTGCTAACATCTTTTGATAAATATTTGAAGTGAATATGCAAGCAGAAGCTAATATCAATTACTTGGAAATATTAAAACGTATGATTGATAATTATATTATAGAATGCTTATAACATCTGAATCTTTGCTTAATATCTATTTATTACCAGGTGAAGGCTGTTAGAAAACATGTTAAGTAGTTGTTATAAATGATAATTTAGTAAAATGTAGATGAATACAGTTTATAGGAGTTTTACAAAATATAGCTACAGAAGGATAATGGTAACAATTTTAAATTGCACTCAACAAGACTTCTCTCTCTTTTATATATATATATACACATATACAGGCATGCAGTTGCATGGAGAATTGCTTATGACCTTAGGTTTCATGCTCTTGCGATATTCAGACAATTGTCTAAAGATTGTGAAAGTGTGAAACTAAGGTCACAAACAGCTTTCCATGCAACCACATGTTAGCTCTATCACAGATATTGAGCACTTTCTACTGATACCCCCCCCTCAACATATATATATTCACTGGTAACACAACCCTGAGTTTCATGTATGATATAATCATTAAGTGCTGATTGAAAGCAGTTTTCAATCAGTACTTAACAATTGCATTGTGCATGAAACAAGAGTTGTGCTACCGGTGAGGAAAAAACAAATTTAATTAAAATAAATTTTAACTCTTATTGATAACTATTTTATTAACACCAGCACTCAATATGTGATCCTCACTTACCCCAAGTTCTTTATATATATATATATATATATATATATATATATATACAAATGTGTAGTTTTTAATTAAGTTTTGGAATATGAAAATAGTTATTTATTTAAACAAGATTTGCATACGGATGGGATATTTATATCTTTGTAGAAAAAAATCTCATTTGTGTCTCATAACAACAATTAGGTTTTTCATATAATCTAATCTTTGACAGTATAGACTTAACTGTTTAGCAAAGAGGTGGATCAGAATGATTGATTTTGAACATTGGAAAGATAATCAAGTATGAAGGAGGATTTGAGCATAGACAACAAAGAAGCTTATTAGGTAAGTAAACTGTTGATGATAATCTATTATAGCTGGTGGCTGCAATTATGAAAAGTTTTACTGAAGACATAAACATTGAGGTTCAAGTAATAGGAAAAAGATTTAAGTTAGTAAGCTAAATCAAAATATCAGTATTTATAAAATAACAACTCCTCTCTGCAATAATTTATAAAGAGACTTATTTATTGGACCGATTTCAAAGATAATTGATAATATACTTGTTCTCCTTCATCAACAACTGTAAAATTAAATTTTTTTTTTTCCTTTTTTATTTCCCTCCCCTAGCACAATAAGATTAAATGAAAAGAGGTTTAACATAAATATTTTCAAAATTGTTAGTTTTAACCCACTTCTATTTTCAGTTAAGTTGTTTTTTAAAATGCAATCAGAAACATTTTACATTTTGTTTATCAAAGACCCAGAAAAAAAAAATTAGATACAAATAAAATATCCCGTAACCAAAATTTGCGAACTTTGTTAATTATCAACTGAGAAATAGGAAAATCCTATCCAATAGAGAAATCATTTTATGAATGCAAAATTGATTACCTAAAGAGAGGATTCTTTTGAATTGATTTTCTCATCAAATAACCCAACCAATCTCTTTTCCCACTTAAGCTTTACTTGTTACCAACAACCTTTTTAGTTTATACTTTTTATAAGATAAACTGGTTGCTGAGTTTTCTTATTGGAATAGATAGCTGCATATTTGTATTGGATTTTTAATTCTAATTTTCATAGCAAGCAGGCACTCTATTTGGAAAATTGGTGCAACACACTCTTCCTGTTGCTCTTTGGCCTTGGGCCATAATAATCTGAGAATCATAATGTCTTTTATGAGAGAATTATAAAAATTACATAAAATATGTATTTATTAAGTGCTTGTTTTATGGATGCTTAAACCTATTAAGCTACTACATTTTACAAGTCATTCACTAGAATGAAACTGATTCTGCTAATATTTTTATAATACAAAACAATTATTTTATTTATATTTTATTGTAGAAGACATAGGGAACAAGGAAATATGAATATTCATAGAAATAATCATTTTAGGTTTTTAAATCTTTAAAATATTTTTTAATATATCAAGCTTCAACTATAGTTTATATTTTGTACTAAAAGTAATTTAAAACTTTTTTTTATTTTTATGTATATTTACTTTCCCAAATGAAAAAATATTTCCTTTCATTTGAGATATTGCTTTAAATGTTTAACTAAGTCACAGTATATTTTCTTTTTTGTTACTTCTCATTTGGATACCTGAAGGGCGTAGTTTCACAAATTATCTCTTCAAGGAAAGTCTGTATACTTGGCAACTGTTTACTTTCATTTTTACCTGAAGGAATTAGATCCTATGTTTCTACATATAACTGAACAAGATTTGTGCTTTAGTATATATCGATACAGTTTGTTTTTTTTTTTTCCTAAATATAACTATGAATGGAACCTGATTTTAAGAATTGATTTGGAGATCTTCACAAATTGTCAAAGATATTTGAATAACAGGAGAAGCAGGATGACTCATGCAGATGTGTTAATGATTATACCAGGAATGAGTGAAGCTCTGTCTGGAAAGAAACCAAAATAGCTCTGAAATACTTTTGTTGGAATGGATAAATTGCTACCTCACAAAGATTATTTTTTTTTTAAATATTATGACTTTACAATATTACAACTTGTTTTTTGTGGAAGATTAGGCTGTGAGTACTCATTAGATATGTCCAATGCCTCTATTTTTTTAAAAATAAGATAAAATTGAAAGTTTTATATTTATCTTCAGTTTTTTTTATATAATTTTTTGCAATGGACATGGAACCAATGAAATTAAAATACATAATGCTTTCACTTGAAGGTCATATATTACTGAAATATTTTACTTTTGCGATCAACATAAATTTTAACTTTCTGTTTTAAAGTCTTTTTTTCCTTATTTGGAAGAGATTCTCAGAAATTATAAAATGTACTTTTAATTAATTTATGTATTCAGTACATGTTTAGAATTTATGAACAAATATTAAAAAAATAGCTGTAAAATTTGATATAAATTTTCCAGCTTTGTAAAATTTATCTTATCTCAGCAAGTAATATTGACAAAAAAAATTAGTTTTAGTATAAGTTGGCAATATTATTTATGTCAATATTCTTTGAAAATACATGTCTCTTAATGCTCCATTTTTTTTTTTTTTTTTTAATCTTCCAAATATTGAATACAGAAAACTTGTTAAAGAATAATACACTATCATATATAAGACTAAATAGACTAGTTTATTTATTTGTGTCATACTACTGACTATGTTGGCACCAAGTGCAGACAGATTCACAAGTGTAGTACGTTTGATTCTAAATCCATGTCCAACTACTGTGAACTTAAGAATATATACAATAAGTAACCAATAATATTATTTACTAAACTTATCTTAATCTGTCATGACTTGGGTGTGTTACTTGAGCAAGGTGTGTTACAAAGACAAAAAATTTTATGGTATCAATAACACCTGCAATAAATCATGATAACTTGGCTTTTAAATAGTATTTGAATGGTTTCCATTTTTTTCTTTTTTTTTTTTTTTTCAGTATTGGAACAGATGGCTACATAAAATCAACTAATTGATTAGCTTTATAAAAATCTTAAGTACAGCATAAATAAACTTTTAGGAGACCAGCACAGATGTCTGCTGATAAATGCTAGATGATAGTGAATAAAATGGTTTGAAATTTGTTCCTGTGAAGAACTGATAAGTGAGATAATATTAAATAAAATGAATAATGAAATAAGCTTGAGTGCATCAACTATCCATAGGTTTGAGCAAGTTCAGAAGCAAACTTCTTATTGCTCAGTCAGTACAGTCTATTTACTCAAATGTATAGGATGTTGAAAAGATCTCAGCTTGATCCACTTCCCAAGATAGGGGTGTGTATGTGGGGGGGGGGGAACAAATGTTTTGTTTTTTGTTTTTCCCTATTAATAGTTTTTGATCATGTAATAATTTTAATGAAATAATTCTTACAATATTTTATATTATTAATAGATAAAATATTATTTGTAGTGCTTTTTAGAGAATTTTTTTTTTTTAACTAAGAGCAATGAGAAAACTTATGTGAAATTTTGGTCAGGTATCTACTTAGAAATTCTCATTCAGCAAAACTCTGTCCTGTATGGTGCTATTAAATTTTTTTTTTTTTTTTCAACTTGGGTATATAAGATTTAGTGTACTAATTAAAATTTAGACATCTTCCATCTCAGAAGGTATTTTATTTTGCTTCCAAATTGACTCCTATGTTTGCAACATAATTGTCCTAAATTGAAAAACCAGAGATTTTTATTTTTAAAGATTTCTTTCTCCAAAACAGTTTTATACATTTTTTTTTTTTTTTTTTTTTTTGATTCAGTTATATTATAATTTTGCTTATGTATTTATTTTTTATTTTCTTTTTCTTTCTTTCAAGGTGGGTATTCAGTTCATCATCTATCCAGGATCTTATAAAGAGAAGACTTGATGAACGTATGCTAAACATAAAACCTAATTTTCTCAGTAAGTAATGCCATTATTTTTCATTTTCCAATTTATTTCAGATAAAAATTTTCCTGTCTATGAGGTTAATTTGACATTGTTTTATCCGATTTACCAGAAAGAAATTTCATTTAATTTCAGAATGATGGATTGAAATACAAACCTCAAAATGTCTAATGCATTTTAACCATTTAGTTATACCTTCAAGTGAACTGATAATTGTATTAACTAATCATAGCTCTAGAGTGTTTAAAATCCTGTTAAATATCTAAGCACTTTTATTATAACACTTTATATGATCATAAAAATTTCTAGGAAATCAAAAAGAATGAATGTAATCTTGATTTAAAATAAGAAAAATGTAAACTATTATAATAAAACTTTGACTATATATATATATATATATATATATATATATATATATATATATTCAATGACTAACCAGCTTGAAATTGGAAATTAACATGTAAGCTCCAAAGTTTACTATCTGATGATGTAACCCTTTAACCATACATACTGATTCTTTTGTGTTTACAAGTTTCCAGAAAATATTAAAACAAATGTTTTGTATAATTTAAAGTCATCTTTTAGACAAATTATAGCATCACTATTAAGTTTAAACTTTTTACTTTTTAAAATTTTGAATAAGTAATTTGATATTAGTTGATTAAAACATTTCATATATCAATTCTATTAATCTATCATGTCACCCAGTTGCAATGAAAGTCTTTGAACTCCAAGATCCTTTCAATAGCTGCATAGTATGTGCTTTGCCAGGGCTACAGACAGTTTTGAATTGTCTTTTTACTTCTCTTAGACACTTTGACAACAACAGCTAGAGCCTAGTCTTCCTTGTTATTTAACCTATAATGAGAGAAAGGAGAGATTGAGTCAGACTTTTCCCAAGAATATTTGTACGAAAGTGAATTTGAATCTGGCTCACCAATTTGTTCTAAGCTGCTAACCATTACCCCACCTATACATACAAAATACAGAATCATCAGTCACATTTTGTCAATAATGCCTTTTGCTAATTGCTGTAAATAATTCTTGTTGGAAATGTGGCTATCAATATATGCATTTTTTTTTTCTTTAATTTCTTAGTCACTATAGATTTCTACTCGCAAAGGAAATTATTCTTAAAAAAAAAAACTGTTCAGATAAAGCATTCATTCTTTAATAATACTAAAATAGCAATCTTTGCAATGGAGATTGGATTCTAAAATTATACCATTTGATATCCTAATCATTATACTTGTTCTTTCAAGGGCATTGGCAATTGTTTTGGTTTTTGTTATTTCCCCAAACCCAATAGATTTTCCATAAACCTCTTAATACTTACTTTGAACAAAATCTTTATTGATTTTTTTTTTTTTTTTTCAGTCTGAACATAAAATTGGAGTGATCAACTAATTTTCAACAATTTCTGGTTTTTAGTTTACTTAAATGTATTAAAATATTGATGACATTGGTTTCTGATAATGAAAATATTGATTTGTTTTCTCCAGTTTATCAACCCTTTGCAGGTTATTTAAAACCAGAAAATAATATTTTTAGATTGTAAGAAATTTTTTTTTTTTTTTTTTTTTTTTTTTTTTTTTAGATAATGATTTACTAATATAAGTCTTACTAATTAACACATAGCTAGGGGAAGAGGTAGATTCATACTTTCCCCAAGGGTATTTGCATGTAAGTGAATATAATGAACCTAACTGGAGTTAGAACACAGCTCTCCAATTAACAAATCTGAGATATTATCCATTACATCACCTGTACATCCAAGCTTACAGCACCTGGTATTCTCAATGAAAATATTAATGAAACTTAATTGTTTTTTGGGGATATAATTGCAATGTTATTTGCCCCCTCTTCCAATAACTATTAAGTTTTGAAAAAAAACAAGAAAACAATCACCCTCACAATTTGTGCCAATTGTTTCTATAAAGTTTTTTCATTTTATAGCTGTTAAAAAAAAAAAAAAAAGGTCAGATAAGACTTTTTTTTTTTAAACAGGATGTCCTTAACTAAAAGTTTTATTGGGTGTTGCCCATGTTGCTTTTTATATATAATAATTCTGTTATATATATATATATATATATATATATATGTGTGTGTGTGTATGAGAGAGCATGTGTATAGTGATATGTTATCTATATATCAGAGTATGAATTTGAGTTCTACATGCTGGAAAAAAGCATTTAAATTCAGACAATAATTCTAAAGTTTTCAGCTTGGACATTTTTTGCTTTGCTTTGACATTTTGAAAATGCCAATATTTTACTACATTCAACTATGCAACCAAATGTTAAAAATGTATATTTTTGATTATCTGCTTCTTTGTGCTATTATTTTCTGTCATGATGCACAAAATGATATGGGCAAAGAATGTCATAGAAATCCACCACAACTTCTCATTCTGGCCTTTATTTCAGATCCTTGGCATTTGTTTATGTGATAATAGGATTACAGAAATGAGGGAAAGAAATGCAATTGCAAGAATTTAAATTTATGTATTAGCAAAATCATTTGCTTCATTGAAATGATGAGTGATTGTCTCTGAAAAGGAAGTGTGACAGTTAATTTTTGGTAATGTATATATGCTGCAAAACATCATAGACACAGCATTTTAATTAGTCACAATATGTTACTCTTTTTTTTTTTTTTTTTTTTACAGAGTTGACCTTCCAATTTTTTTCAAACTTTTATATTTTTTTTTACTTAGTTTATGAACAAAGTTTAGTATTTATATTTTCATTATTGTCCATCATAAATACTGGTATAAAATCAGGTCCTATTAGTTAAAAATGTGCACATTGCTCAATAGTATATATTTAACTTTAATTAAAAAAAATTTTCTGTAAATTCCAGAATGTAATTTTTTAAAAAGTAAAAATAATTTGTAATACACAAGTTTTTTTTTTTTTTTTTTTTTATCAAAAACTAGTAACAAAATAATTTTCACTAATATGTTAAACTTTTGGCTTGACCCACTTCCCAAAATCTGAACTGATAGAATTTTTTGTAATCCTGTTTTTGGTCAAACTGGCAGTTTTTCAACACTACATTGCATATCAGTAATAATTATGGTATGAGTATAAACAAATGTCTATATAATTTTTTGGGAATATAAAAATATTTGTACATTTTTTTCTAATTCTTATGAGTGAATCCTCATATTTCAATTAAGATTTGTAGCTAACATCAATGGATCTGCAAGTATTGATATGTCACTTATTACTTTCTTCATTTCCTTAGTAGTCATTTCTTAAAAGTGTCTTAAATAATACCATTTATAAAACTTGTATATTCTTTTCTGTTTTGTTAAAAAAAATACTTCTACAGTTTTTTATACTTATAAGTTCTTTATTTTAAAGTATAATGTTGCAAGCATATCTGTTATAATTGTTTTAATTCAAAATAATTACTGGAAATCCAAATTTAACATTTAAGAATGTGAGTGCACATATTTACATATGTATGCTCTTTCTTGAGTGGATAAGTAATATCAATTAAAACTTAAAAATTAAAACACATCTACAGAAATACTTTTACATTTATAAATACAAAGATTGATGTCTCCAATCCCCCCCAAATGTTTTAAACCAGATAGAATGATGAAACTGATGTAAATTTATTTTTAAAATTACAAATTTAATTTTCAACTTAGACACCATTTTTCAATCTGTCCTTGAAGAAAGCTTCTGATTTACTTGTTATCCAGTTGCACACAACCTTACCATTAAATGAAGAGAGTTGACATTTCAACCTTGATTTTCTAATGTAGGTATCAACCAGAAGTCTCAGGGTACTAAATTGTGATCGTGTGGAAGATGTTTAACATCTGTGATCTCCAGGCTTCTCAACATTTGAAATGTTTGACTGAAATATGAACTTGCATTGTTGTAAAACACACACACACAAAAAATGTTCTCATGCATTGTGTGTGTATTAGCAAGCTTTCATTGTTTTCATACATCTGTGAATTTTGATTAGGGTGCAACTTACTAGCATCAAAACTTTTATCACTGGTTGCTTCTTTATACATAAGTCAGATATAATACTCATCACTGAATTCTATTTCTCAATTCCATCACACAGTGAACTGATGTGAAGAATGTTTGAATAAAACTTCATATATTACTGAATATGTCAGAAACCTGTCAATCTTCATTATTATTGAGGGGACCTTATTATAGTGTATTGTTCTATAACATTAATGACAGCTAAATTGAATCTTGGTTATCTTCTATCATTACTGTAATGTCTTCATTTTTAGAGATAGCAAGTGTATCTGGAATGATAGTAGTATGAATTCGCTTTATGTAATCAGGAATACTTTTACAAAATGACTAAGTAGTTTTCTGTTTTGAAGTATTTAGGGCAGCTAATTTTATCCACTCTTTTGGGTTACTTGATCTTGTTAGTCTATCTTAAATATATGATTTAGTATTCTTGTTGATAAACTAACAACAATACTGAAAAGATGCTAGCACCCTCCTATGCTTATTGTAGTTATTTTAGTCTTAAAATTTGTTAATAACTTCATTTTGTGAATTGGATGAAAATTGAATAGGTTACAAAAATAAATGCCTGTGAAATGTATTTAGTGTTTTAAAAGATTTTAATATTTAAGGATTTTATGATAACAAAAACAATGTTTACGAAACAAATACTAGGAATAATTTATCACAATTTATTCATTTAGATTCACAAGTTTTATTTTTGTTGGTGTAATGACATAACTTCATGCTTTCTTTTTACTAGATGTAGTCTCTCTCTCACACACACACACACACACACACACACACACACACATATATATATATATATATATATATATATATATATATATATATACACACACACACACACACACACACACAACTATTTATTTAAAATTATAACATAAATGTTATAAAATCACTACAAAAATAGCCATTTTGTTTCAACACTTCTGGTGTCTTATCAAGTGATGTTGAAAGGCTTTTTTATTATATTCTGACTATGTCCTGGACATTGAG